CCATCAAAGATTTGTTCTCCTTTCTCACGAGGAGCCACCAATCCACTCACTCACAAAGTTGTGAGAAACAGTTTACAAACCAATTTAGCAAGATTTTCCTATCGTTTTCTCAATCGGCAATCGTTGGAATCAAGTAAAGCTAAAACCTTTTAACCGATGAAGATCAACAATGAGTACCTCTGTGTGTTTAACAAGCCAAAGAAGCAATGAAGAGGCTCCAGACAAAACTTACATCCACCAATGTAACTCCCCATAAGAGCAGCTGCTATTTTCCAGTTATCCGGACCAAGCGATCTCATCGGTACAAGCATAAAAGCCACCACAGTCCCTACAATCGTCGCAACTGCCACAAACCAACTATAGATTTAATAAACCCACTAATCACACCATCAATGACAATGTCACTTCATAAATGAGCAACCTTTTAACAACCACTCTGAGTTTAAAGCTAATCCCAAGTCCAGAGCTTACATTTGAACATAGTAGTAGCTGCAATCTAAGCAAAGAGGAAGATCTTACCAGATCCAATCAAGAAAGCAAGGAGCAGTGACCCAGTAGATCGGATAATACGACGGAGATCAGCTCTAAACAACAACAATGGAATCGTATGAGGCAAGAGAAACTCCATGAAGAAGGAATACGACGGAGTTTCAAACGGAATAAGCCCTAAATTGCTCGCGGCGAGACCAAGCAACGTACTAGTCAAAGCCCCACTCACCATACTCCCAATCTTCGTCTTCTCCGACCTAAAAAAAAAAGCCGGTTAATTTTACAGTCAGTCTACAAAGTCCCTGAGAAGTCGAAATCAGAGAGAGATTGTGAGCTGATTACCAGACACCGAAAGCGCCGGCGGCGAAGAGAGCAGCCCATTGAGACCAGTGATCGTCGGGAGGAATTAGTGGAAATCGCAGTTGCGAGAGAACCTTCACACGCCGAGATGAAACAGTTCGCGGCGGCGAAGTGAAGAGCTTTTCCGGCGATTTGTTCCGACGGATGTAAATCGACGATAAGCAGTGACGGGAGAGAGACACGTGGGGCGATGATATTGCGGGTGACTGTGGATTTGGTGACACCACTGTGAATAATAGTGCCATAGATAATTTGGTGGCAGTTGGATTACCAATTAATGTTCTTCAGTTCGATATATAATTTACCAAAATTTTTGCCATGTTTATTAAAAAATTTGTTTTATACTTAATTTACAAAATCTATCTTATTATATAAAGTTTGAAACGTATAATTAACAAGATCATAACGGGTATCCAATTGGTTAACCAGATTTTAACATTTGTATACAAATATAAAAAAATTATTTTCAATTAGATTTAACTATGTCAAAAGATTTATCTATTTATTTTTATTTG